CCTGCACAACTGTAATAATACAAGTAAACGGGGCCAGGGAGATGGCTCAGTGGAATAAGCACTTCCTTGGCAAGCACAAGGGCCTGAGTTTAATTCCCGGTTCCACAAAAAAAAAAAAAAAAAAAAAATCCAAGTAAACATGAGCGTACAGAGGAAGAAGTGCTTATAAAGCTGTATGCCGTACTTTCCTTGTAATTATTGCTCAGAGAATGTTCTTCATTGTATTTGTACCACAGAGACTACGTATTAATGGCCACACTACAAAAAACTTCAACTTCCGCTCCACACCTAGCATATTAATTCTACTCAAGGGGCAAAGCTCAGGGTATTCACCATTATTTTTTAACCCTGTTATTATCACAAAAGAAATACTTTGTCTCATTTATGGATACCTTTCCAAAAGCTACCGAGCACATTGAAAAGTGACTACTGCAAACTGAAAATATTATCAATGAAATATTTTATCTTTTACATGTTTTATTTGGATATTTGAAGAGCTTCGCACTATATCATTTTGCATGTACTATAAATGACAGATGTGATAGCTGAGGAGATTAACAATTACTTTTGGGGTAGTTTAGAGCCACCCAATATTTTTAAAGAATATTGTTTTGTTCTGATATTAAACCAATATTAGTTTACTTATCTTGAAAATACTATTTATTAATATGCTATCAGTATTGGCAAGGCAAAAAAGCCATCAAAACAAAGCAAATGTTGCTGTTTCTTTCTCTTTTTCACATCACTTTTATTATAGTTTACTATGATAATTATATTTAATTATTGTTAGTTAATATCATACTGTACCTACTTTATTTTTTCCATAATTTTATTGACAGGCAAATAGCAATGAGACAGTTTCAAATCAAATTGGTAGGACAGTTTCAATAATTAACATATTGTGTACTAATAAATAAAGCATTTCAATATCACTTACAATACTATGATGCTAAAAGGACAGGTTGCCCTTAAGATAATTTAATCATTCCCTTTGACAGATATACCATCACCAGGCTCCTTGCTTTTCTCCACTCCTAAAATAAAATTCCCGCACATTTTGTGACTTACTTTCAGAAACTTCATTGTGTAATGCGTGATTTAATGAAACTGAAATCTGTTAAGGTTTCAATCTTCTCTTGGATTTTAAACTTCTGAATAAACATGAGTCTTACTTCGTGTAGAAACTAGAAATATCGTAGACTAACATATATGACAAAATAATTACTTTATAATTGATTAATATATTACTCATGGCTTTTTATATAAAACACTTTGCTCATATTGAGGAAATGTTTATTTTGGCTTGTTTTCCTATTTGGAAATAGGGAAAAGTATATGAAAGTGGGAAAAGAAAGTCACCCCACATTTATGTGCTATAGCTTGAATGTAGATGCAACCCCAGGGTCTCATTTGCTCACAGATGGGGCTTTGCAGAGGTGGCCAATAGAGGGAGTGTGACATAAGGCATAATAATCCAATTAGTCTGCTGGTTGGTTTAACATGGATTTGGGTGTGGATAATGATAGGTACACCCAAGGTGCAGGTGGCACCAACCCAAAGGCTTGTAGCCCAGACAGGATACAAGGAGAAAGAGGCTCACTGCAGCTGCTGATTCCTGCCTGTCCTGCCAGGGACTGTCTGTCCTCCGGGAAGCCCCTCTGCCCTGCCACCCTGGCTTGGAGCCCGCCGACTATGTCCTGAAATGTCTACAAACTGGAGCCAAAATGAACCATTCCTATTTTAGCTTGTGGGAGCCAGGTATTCTATATCAGCAAAGAAAAAGGTAACTATGATAGTATACAGCACCCATTACATGCTGAGTTTTGTCCTTTGAGTCTTGTTTTTTCCTATCTGTTGGTTTATCAAAGTTATTTAAATTATAACATAGTTTTCTTATTTTTATAATGTATTGAATTTATATTTATAATTTTCTATTCTCCTGTTTTCAGCTTAACAAAATTTACTATGCATTAAAATCACTGGAAAACCAATATATCATTATATACTACTAATTTTTTATAGCAATTGATTTTTTACACTTCACAGTCATGGAAAAGGTTAATAGGACATTTGTATTTATAGACACTTAATAAATTTTTAATTTTTTCTCCTCAGAACATATTGTTTTACAGATTTTGATACCAAATAAAACTACAAATGCTAATAAAAATTATACCCCACATGAGCTAATGTCAGCCCGATAACGATTTAGAGTGCTTATTTTATTACATTTTGTTTTCCACTGATTAGTAGTAAGAAAATGAACTTGTTAAATTGCCACAGCAAAAAGGCATTTACAGTTCATTTTTTCCCCCTTGATTAGATGGAACATGTTTACATATATGTTGGCCATATGTGGTCTTTTATAAATTACTGATTTCTGTTTATTATCTACATTGTTTAGCATCCTAAAGGTCTACTTGTTTTAATAAGCATACATTGTGCATTTATATATTCTAACGTAGAAAATTTTACACACCTTTCTAAAAAAAAGTCTTCATATTTTACTTATAAAATGTTCTTTCCAATTCAACAGTCTGGTGAATGTTCTATTATTTCCAAAGGTATTTAAAGGATTAATGGTTTTGATATTTGGCTCTTGCTTTAAGACTCAGCTTTACATTGTCCTTTTCCAAAATTAACAACTAGTTGACTTAGTACCACTTGTGTATGGGTTTTCATCGTTCCCTAACTTGCCATTCTTCTTTTCTAATGTATTAAATGATTGTAGCACATGAAACACCCTATCAGTATGACCCTGTTGCTGTCAGTGTATCTTTTTGCTATTAGTACTATCCTGTTGCTGTGTCTAGGAGATAAAAATGCCACAAAGTTTAAATTATCAGATTAAATTACTACACTGGTGATTTCAACTCAACATCTAATGTTTTAATTAGTAAAATAAAATGTGAAACTTCTGCTTAAATTCTTGCACCTATGAGATATTTCTGTGATTTCAAACCATTCAGTTACTTTAAGAATAGCTTAAATACAACCTTTTGCAAATGAAATATAACTAAGTAGTTCATTAAGCTTATTAATTCAATACAGTATTCAGAACTTATTACACTGTATTAGATTTGTATATGATATGTAAAGAACAGTGCTAGATGTGTACATTATATAAATCAGCATAGCAAGATTAATATCAAAACTCATCATACACTTTAGGTCAAGAAAATATTATTTTACTTCAGTTAAAGTGTCCTCTTGCAAGTTAATTACACACTAAAAGAAGCAATAAGGCAAACAGTTCAATGGTGACTAAATCAGCAAAAATAACTTTAAAATGTCGGTTATGAAACCTCTTTAAGCACAATTAAAACTCTCACTCTCATAGGAAACTGCTATTTATTTATTCAACAAATCATGCAAGTATTAAAGATTTAACTTTCAACTGGCTGTAAATTGTTTAAAATTATTATGAAAATAATATACCAACCATCTCTGGCGCTACCCAACATGAAAGCAGAAAAGAATGAAAAAGAAGATATTAGGAGCAGCAAAAGCAACAGCTAGCCACCACAGATAGCATTACTTGGCTAACACACCACCACGTCATCCTAAGGGAATGTTTCTCAAACTTGGTTACCACAAAATTTGGAGCAGAACACAAAAGGTATTTTAAACATGTTAGAGAGTTTTACACTTTGTGATAATAAAAAAAAAAAAAAAAGCCTTCCCTGGGAATGAATACCCGTGTATGCATGACCATTAACAACAAGTGCTATCTTGCAGGGCCTGCATTTGTGTGCCTGTTTCTATAAATGTGTAGGTCTCAGGGAGTTCCAGCCTAACTGCAAAAGAACGAAAGAAAATAGGAGCAGACTTCACGTGGAATGCGGCATTCTCATTGATCAGGCTTGTTATTTCGGTGAAAGTCTCATACTATTTGGAGAACGGAAAATTCGTGCCATCAGACAGGACAGAGTCTGACCTATGCAAATCTTATACAGTAATTTCAGACAAAGACATTCATTCTGGGACACTGAACATCTTAATAGGCCTTTACTGTGTGGAAATACTGCTTTTATTTGATTTATAGTTTTATTTCATATTTGTATAAGAACTCGGAAGATAAGATGTTTCTAACTTTTGTGGCAAATATTTAGAAAATTTATAACAATTTCAATTTAAACCTCTAAAATATTTTTATGTAAAAGAGAATTAGAAATCAGTTAACATAAGAATATTTTTAACACATTTTTTGGAAAAACCCAAAACATATATTAAATATTTCAACTATCAAAATGCAGGCATCTTACTAAATCTAGAACATTAAAGCTTTCACATACTACTTCCGAAACAGAGGTACAATCTGATGCAAGCAGAAGGGTATTTACATTATGCTTATAGGGAAAGAATGTATTTACTACTGTTAGATTTGAGCCCACCCTCTAGTTGTTTTCTGTTTATTTGCTTTGTTTTCGAGGAGGGTTGGTAGGGGAGAAAACCAAAACAAGGAGAGTGAATATGGGGGCCAAGGACTACCACACAGAAGGGCTCCCTTCACGAGACTTCAGGGTCTTCACAATGTCTCAAACGACGTCACATAATTACTGTCTGTCTAGATTCTACCACATGGAAATTTTTTGATGAAACATAGGACCTAATGGTTTCATTAAACGTAAAGGGTAAACATAAATTGCAGCCTTTAACTTTGTAAGAGTATTTATCAATCATGGCTCATTATACACAACTTTTTAAAGCGATATCTGCAAGCATCCAGAGCAATTTATAATTGAAAAATGAGAGACAGACAAGAAAACTCAACCGGACCGCATTCCTAAAGCAGTTGTCCCTGTGTTGTCTGCTTTTCTCGGTAAGAGCCGGGAATTGTGAACCCAGTTACAATGTTTCTTTTCAGAGAGAACAGTTTTGCTCTGACAAAGATTTTTGCTCATCTCCCATTCACAGTTTTAAAATTCATAACTGAAGACTCAGATCAAACCTTATGAATTCAATGTACCGATCTTTTAATTTCCGGATTTGAAAACAATATTAAAATTTATGTCATTTTGTATTAAAAAAATGAACCACTTTCTTTCCATAGTAAATTAAATTATTAAGAAAAATCAACAACTTTAATCCTTAGCATGTGTAGAAGTATTTTTAGGCCTAAGGACAATTATTTTTTAAAAGTAATTAATTTAAGAAAGCTTTTATAGGAATAGTAAGTTAGAGTAAGGATAGTTTGGGCATAGAAAATTTTTTTTCTCTTAGATTAAAAAGAAATAAACTATGTGTTGTCCAGCCTGTTAAAATAGTCACCTGCATTTCATCTAATTTTGATTGAATATCTGGAGGGAAATCCCCGGCTCCACAGTTAAAGGGGTCGAAAGGTTCAGCTCCAAACAGGTCCCGTTCTAAGGGAAGAGAAAAAATAGTAGTGAATGAAATGACCAGGACTGCGTCAGTAGATGTCAGGCCCAGAAAACGTAAGTAAATATATTTATATGACCAATGAGCCACTCTCCGCACCTGTCCTTTCATCAGCTAAGTAAGGGTGCTGAGATCCATTCTGTGATGTTGAACACTGCTTAGGTATAAAGAATTACTACTGAGAGTTCTCAATTTCCAGTGGTCACTTAATAGCAGTCACCAAATATTTTCTAATATATATATATTACAATACCTACATCTTTACACCACTTTAAATTTACTAAGGTTTATAAAATGCTCATTGAAATTGAGCCCCTGCCATCTGTTGATGGCTTACAGCACAGTAGTATTGACAATAGTAGAACTCAGTAAATCAGCAGGCAGCTTTCCCTACTGACCATGCGCTTTTAGCTGACTTTGCCCAGGGAAGACTTGAGGCACACTATCTCATATAATATAAAATCCTATAAACTTTGTAGATAACCAGGGAGACTTTTAAAGTCCTCCTTTGTGAGAAACAAATTTTTTTTTAAAATAAGAGGAATCCAACATCAAAAAAGCTATTATGATTTAGATCTAGACGGTCCCCCAGGGGTTTATGTGTTCAGAATAGAGGCTGTTGGAAGGTGACACACGTTCTTTCAACTCAGCGATACGTAATGATATGGAAGAACTAATCACTTATTCTATTTGATTTCTAATATATTATAAAAAATTATTATGATGCATGATGAAGAATTCTTGTTTTCTCAGTTATTTTTTGTCAATTTCTTGTATTAAGTTTATAAGTGGCAAACTGCTTGGAAGTTTCTAGCATCGGTAAATATCTGAGATATAAACTATATCATCAATTAAAGTCACCTTTAAAAATGAAAGGAACACTCTTTTTTTTCTTCTGTATTTTAGGGAAGGGTCAACAGGGTGTTCATAGTCTCACTACTAGATTAATTACTAGTAGTAATTCTCCTGTTTACAACCTCCCAAGTACGGGGATTACACGCGCATGACACCACGTCCAATCTCAATTGCTGTCTCAGTGTGCCCCAGGGGCGGGGATGGCACAGCAGGCCTGGGGATCGAACCCCCAGCCCCTGCACCTGCTTGCAGGAGCTTTAATCCACTGAACTATTTGGCCAGCCCTAAAAGGAGCACTCTTATTTGTTGCAGTGAGACAATAGTGTAAGCCCAAGCTGCTCTGAACAAATAGGAGTTTACGACCTAATATATTACTCAGGCAGATTACTACTGCTGTTATCACCTCCTTTCCTTAGTCTTACATAAATCAAATTTAAGAGAACAGAGCAACTTCTCTTTGGCAGAGTATCCTGATAACCACTACGTCTCAAGCATACTGAACAGTACTGCCCACATAGTAGGTGTGTTAGGGGTTGTAGCCAGATGTCTATCAGCCTATCACATTCATAGATGAGGCTTTTTGGAAGCAGCTGGATTGAGCGTGTGATGCTGGGATTAAGTGTGCTGTGCTGAGATTACTCCACAATGGGTGAGTCCTACCCACCCCAAGGCAGATAGCCTGGATGGAGTTTAAGAGACAGAAGGAAGCTGCTTCACGACTGTGCTGCCTTCTGCCTGCCATGAACTATTTTTCCTCTGTGATGCCCATCTGCCGTGACGCTCTGCCTTAGGGACGGATGACTAAGGAGGGAAACCTCTACAAACTGTGAGCTGAACTAAATCTTTGTTCCCTTGACTTTGGGCATCAAGTATTTTGTTTAAGCAATGAGAAAAGTCACTAAGAGAAGGTTTGGTCAAAAGAAATGAGTTCATGAAGGAGGAGAGCTGCTGATCACACAGAGAGAACAGGTCATTACAGCTTTCTCAAACAGGAACTCAGGCATCTCTAGCGACTTCAGGTCAACTTCTAGGAGCATCTGGTAGGCTTGAAATGTGTCGCTGGGGGTGCATGAGGTTGCTGTGTTTTTCTATGAAGAAATTTCTAACTCATTCTCAAGAATGTGATTGCTCAACAAATTAATAACTGCACTATGGATTAGTAAAGATATTAACTGCATATAAATCAATACACACTGTAGAACTCATTGATATACTCTGGTCAGCTCAGATAAGTCTAAAGTTCGTAATGAATCCCAAACTCAAGTTTTATGAAAAAGATTGCTAGTAGCTAACATTAAGGTCAGCTGCATCTAAAGCAGGGGTGTCGGGACAAAAACAAGGAGCTCGTCCTTTAGCCAAAAATTCTACCTGCGAGGTATTTCACTGGGCAAGAGATGTAAACAGAACAGAAAGGAATACTCCATCCCCTCACAGAACTGATAGCTAAATAGGGAATAAGCTATGAAACAAAATAAAGGTCCATACATATGCAAAGGGAGACAAAATATTCATTCCAAATGAGACACAGGATCAAAACCATGCTCTGAGGAACTGCTAGGATTCTCAGGTACTGAAGACAAAGTCAGAGGCCAAGCTTGTATGTTTTGGTTTTATATATTTAAGTAGATAATGACCAAAAAAAGAATACGTTTAATAGTGTAGTTAGAGAAAAGTTCTTTGTCTAAAATCCAGCTGGGAGTGCCTCCCCCGCCCCGCCCACCGAGTAGGATTTTCTGCCGAGTTCCGGGAACCCCCAGACCCAGTCCTAGCCCAGGTCCGGTGAGTGTGCGGAGAGCTTCCTGCTACCCTGCGCCAGCGGGACCAGTCCCAGCCCAGGCGCAGAGTGGGCCGGACCCTCTCCCAGCCTCTTGGACCACCCCCCACCACTCCGCAGT